ATTTTTGTCGCTCCTCAGCGCGGTGGGCCCGGCCCTTGACAAGCTGCCCCTCGGGCTGGCCTGAAGAGCGACAAAAATAACCCGGAAAGCGTCGATTTTCCAGTCCTTGGCCAGCGAGGCGTTGGGTGCCCCTCACGCCGGTGGAGCGGCTGTCCAGAGGCACCTTTGCGGTGACGGTGAGGGCGGGCTCGTTTGGCCCAAACCCAGCTGTTCTGCAGCGTTTCTGGGCAGATGTGCGGCCCGGGCCCGTCTCGTGATGCCCGGCGAGCGCCGAGGGAAGGGCTGAGGGAGGGTGCTGGGGCATGGCCGGGGTGAGCTGCGTCACGGCCTGTCCGGCTGCTGTTTGGGTTGGTTCTGGTGCCTGCAAGCAGATTGCTGCTTCCATAGTGGTGCCGCAAGCGTTTGCGGTGTGGTGACCACGAATAGTAATGTTTGGGGTGAGTGGGTTTCCCCTTCGGAGACGGAGGCACCAGGCGATCGCTGCCTGCGGCTCTGTGTTACTTTCCCATCAGGTGCTGCTGTTGACACCTGTGGGCACCAAAGTTCAATGAAATGCCTGCAGGTGGGGTTTGAGACTCTTGCTCGTGTCAAACTTTCCAGTCTGACTGTAATTCCGCCTGCTTCTGGACAAAGATCTCTGAAAATCGTAGGTTTTGTTTGCTGAAGAGAGACTTTGGATGAGAAAAGCCACGAATTTCTGAATAACCCCGCTTAGCTTAGCTGGTAGCGGCGATTTGGGGCTCCTGTGAGCCGCGCTGGGTGCGAGTGGTGGAGGTGAAAGCAAGGAGCTGGTGTAGTCAGTGACCAGTCAACAGCCGCCTCTTGCCTCTGACCCGTCGGGGGCAGAAGCTGATCTGAGAGAAGATGGGATGAGGACACTGTGAGCTGTCCCACGTGGGAAAAGAAACTGGGTGTTGGGTTGAGATAGGGAGACAGAACGGTGTTGAATGAAAGTGGATCAGGAAAGTCTGCCCGGGGGTAACAGTGGAGTGAGGGTTTGGGCTTCAGACCATGATTCAGCAGGGGATGGTGGTGCGGGTGAAGGTCAGCGTTAGGAAGGGCTCGGTAGAAGAGTAGGACAAACTTGTGGGGACATCTCTGTCTTCTGCTTTCGGTGGAAGCTTACTGCAGAAGTGCCAGTCTGTGTAATGGAGAAGAGAACAGAAAAACATGCACAGTACTAAAGCTCTAAGAAATAATAAATTTAAATCTGTGGTAACTCCATCAGGTAGTTCCCTTACTGTAAGAAAACTACGAAAAAGCTTCGTGTATGGGTTTTGCAAAGATCATGGAAAGACTGAGGACAGAGAAACAACATAAATCTTGACTAATATACACAGAATTGAAGCTTTGTCCTGAAGGATCTATGTGCAATGCATGTCAAGATGTAAGAGCTCTCAGGCAGAGACAGTGTTATGCAAATGTAGCCTTCAGCCTTACTGGAAGCCTGGAAACCTTTTAGCTAGTCTCTAAAATTCCCACATAAAGAGCAACGTAGTAATTTTGTGATGTGGTTGTTTCGGCATGTAATGTAGGAAGAATCAGGCAGAATTTTGTCAACATAAACGCCTTTGCTTTTCAAAGAGCGTTTTGCTCCCTCGTCTCCCAACCTCATTGCTTGTCATTAACTAAAATATGTAGCTGAAACTGTAGCATTTAAGTGGCATTTTGCTGATAGTTCAGCCACATACATGTGGGATGGTGGTGCCACAGAGCTGACCCTAACTGTCCAGGGAGGAAAACAGAAGGGACAAACATTAGAGAAGATGTTTCTTTAAATATGTTCCTCCTTTTCTCTTCCTCCTCCCTATATTGTGCACATAATGTAGTGTGCAACATGTGGATCCCATGGAAAAAACCCTGTTTTTTATTTAAAGCTGTTACTAGAGCTGTCACTCTTGCAGTCAGTATATTGTGTTATTGCTTCTACAACACTGTTATGGATGTTGATGTTTTTGGAGATACAAATCTGTCCACTTTCCAGTATTTTTATGTTTCTTTGTCTTGTACTGTAAACTATAATTACCAGGAAAGGCCTTGATGTAGGTAAGACCGGTTCCATTTCAATGATTCCATTCTACAGGGAGAATTCACTTCTGGATTTTGTCATTGGCAGGTGCTGGACTGTTTCCCATCTGCTAAATATTTGTGTGATCAGGAGACAAGGGTTACTGGGTGCTGGGTGACTGCCCTTAGGTGTTGTGTTTCATTACCTGAACAGCAGTTACTCTAAAGGGTGTGCTTTTCACAGGCAGCATAATATTATCTATCAGGCTAAGGAGGATCCTTTTAGGTATGGAAGCCTATGTATCTGAAAGCCTACTCTTGAAGCTGGGAATAATGGTGTGATTCCTTAGGGCTGTGGGGAAGATGTTCTGCTTTAAACCTCCCCACTGCAAATTTTTTTTTCTGAATGAAGTGACAGGGCAACCTTGTGCTATAGGAGCCATAAAAGGTTGGGAAAAAAACTAAGCAGCTACAAAAGCACTTCTTGGATTACTTGCAGTACTGCTCTGTTCAACCTCTCATTTGTTATGCCTTGTAACACAGTAGTTAATGGATAGTAATAGTATAATCTGCTTTTATTTTTTAATTTGTCATGGTTAATTTTTAAACTTGTTTCCAGTAACAACGGGACATTTGTTCTAGATCAAGCTGGTGGTTTGATACTTGTTCTACAACAGCATTTGAGCTAGGTTTTCCATTATGCTAACTCCCAGTAGCTCAGTGCTTGGTAACTATCAGCACTGGGAAATCAGTGGAAAACTTTCCTTATCTCAGTTAATTATTCTGTCCACAGAACAAGATCCTGAATAACTCCAGTGAAGCTGCCCAAGACAGGTTGGGAACAGGGAAACTGAGAGGTGGGAGGAAGTGGATTTGTTTTCAGTAGCAAGAGGAGATGAGTGTGGTAAGCAGGGTTGAAAGTACGTCTGTGTGTTGTTTTGTTCATTTCATGTAGTGTTTGTCTACATGGGCTTTCTGCCAGAAAACAAAAGGAACAGGAGAGATGAACCCCCATGTTTCTTGTGGTTAATGCAATGAAATGGTAACATTGGCATAAAACTGTAGAAAAAGAGTGTGAATAAGCTTTACAGACAGCAGCCATTTGGTATAATTATTAATAAAGTGGTTATTCCTCCAACCTCCATCTCTTTCTACCTCCCAAATTCATAATCTTAGAATACATCTCTCCTTTGGAAAGTGACTGTTGTTGCTGCGGTTGTTGTTTTCAAAAGCAAACAAAAAACCCGAAACAACTGAAAACTACCAAAGCTTGGTTTTAGGAGGGAATTTTGTTTGGCTAAAATACAGTCAGCTTTAAAAAAGACAAGTAATACTCGGTGCCAGTCCCACAAACTCAAGCTGAGCTCTGATAGTCAGTCTTGAGTGCTCTCTTTTCATCAAGAAGGGTAGAAGGTTTTGGTGCTGATCTCTTCGTGGGATTTATGTCATTAAGACGCTGAAAGTAGAAATTTGAAACACAGTGTGGTATAGAGAGAACCAGGAACTGATGACTGAAGTAAGCAGGAAGTAAAAGCAGTCTCAGCTGCTGGCTGCAGTGAAAAAGAAGTGCTTTTGGTAAATTAAATGAGTGGGTAAGTTTCAGTGAGCTGAAAAATGCTATTCTGTCTGTTTTCAGAATAGAATTGACTTCAAGTCCCATGAACTGCATTTGGCTCTGTTATTTGAATTGTACTATGACTCCTTTTTTGGTTGGCTAGACATTGCTGGAATACTCTTGTGTACAAACTTGAGAAATAGAAGGAAGAGCTCTTCTCAGCAGCACTCTGAGTACTTGAGTCAGATTTTCACTGAGACTAATATTCACTAAGGCTGGTCTTGAAGAACACAGACAAGTGTTAGGCAGTGATACGTTCTGGAAAGTGCTCTGATATTAGTGATCATTCATCCTTAAATCGTGTTCTAGAGTTAAATGCGTGATATTCTGTTGTATCTGAGTTTTCTGTTGTATTTCTTGTTGTAAATGGGTGATCTGTTGTATTTGATGATTTTGGTTACGTGTCTGGAAAGCTAAGCCTTTTCCCAGTACCTGGATGTATCATGGAGCGGGGATGGTTGCAAACAAGGGGGAACAGACATATAAGCAGAGGATTGAAAGGAATAAGTTACTGCTATTTTCACTACAGGTTAAAAAAGCATGCCTGGGCAGGAACTGTGAGTACATGGGAAATTCATATGTGAGGTTACACCTTGGGAACTCTGTGCTGTACTCTGGCCAGTGCAGGAGTTGACCTGCATCAGATACAGAACAAAGTGAATAAACACCCATTTGTTTTGTTATGATTAGCTGTCTGTTCAGAGAATTTTCTTCTGTCGGCAGTTAGGAACATTTTTGAGGCAGAACATTATTGGGAAAGGTGTGCTTAGGCTTTTGTTTGGATTTGCAATACAGTTAACTGTTCCCTGTCATTTCCAAGAATTCTCATCTCCCTTTTCCTCTGAAGCTGTTTTTGGTGAGGTTAGTGGAAATGCTATGTGTGCATGGCTTGCAGAAATGCAATCAAATTTCTTCCATCAGGTAGGTAATCAGTGTTTATACAGATGAGCCTTGGAACAAAGTTCAAGTGGCAACAGAACGGCTATGAACGATTTCACAACTGCACATGACCAAAAAATAAAGGTCAGGATTTTGTAATAGCCCCCCCAAAATGAGCATATTTCTTAAACAGTGTCGGGTTATGCCCCTGCAGTGACCTAGATGTTTATCCTAGCATTGGCAATGTGTGAACGCTGTCTTGATTCTCTTGGTAGAAGATGAACTGCGTGGCAAGGTTATCTGGGTGACAGGAGCATCAAGTGGAATTGGAGAAGAATTGCTTTCCCAGCTGTCAAAGATAGGAGCCTTGCTTGCCATCTCAGCAAGAAGAGAGGATGAGCTGGAAAGAGAGAAAAAGAAATGCCTTGGTAAGTACCACTTATGTGAGCAGTTCCACAATTGCTCTGATGGAGTTGCCACAAAAATAGTAAGCCATATGTCACAGGAATAAACTTCATGATGAAAGTAAACTACGGGAATAAATTTCATGATGAAAGTAAACTTTATACATACCTTCACTGTATGTTTGAAGCCGGTATTTTCTTTTCGTGAATGAGAAGCCTTTGTATAGACTTGCATTATGAGTTCCTTCATAAGCCAATGTTACCTAAAAATCTCACTACCAGTTGTGAGGGTTCTTCTAAGATACTACATTAAGAAAAATAGATTAAGAATAAATACCGTGGGGAAGAGAGAAAACAATCTGAGGTGTATCACCCTGTTAAGAACCAAACCATGTAGCTGTGTGCTACTGAGAAGTCTTCTTCCTTCAGGCTTGTGCAGGTTACAGTCAGACTGACAACTGACTTTCCTCTTGGGAGAAGGAATGAATAGAAATGTTGATAAAAAGTTGTTCTGAGCAACAAGTGCAAGAAAGAGGATCTCCTGTAGATGAAGAGGAACAAACGTGAAGAGGGATGTTTAACTGTTCCAGTTATCTTTCATATGCCTGCTGGGTCAGTAGTCTGGCCTATTTTCTCCTGTTTCTCTTTTTCCCTCCTGTTTTCTGGCTTGACAGCAAGCGGGATAGGGAATTAATTCATATTGATAAATAGAAGTTTTGAACGTGATTAACATTATGTCTTTTTCAGACTATATATCCTCTGTAGCTCGGTATGCAGTGTTTTATACTGAGTGTATTATGACACTGACTGTTCATTCCTGGTAATGTTGACAGAATGTCCACAGTTTACTCGGAATGGGTGCTGGTGAATAATGAAACATTTGTCTTGGGTTAGCACCTAAACATTTGTAGAAATCTAAAAGTTTTAGCGGGCTACTATGAAAATCTATCAAGGAGCTTAAACAACAGAACGTCTTATATCTATTTTCTGATGCTTCAGAAAAACAGTTACTTAAATAGATATCTTTAAAAGGAAGCAAGGGATGTAAGATGACAGTGTGGTTAAGTGGTTATCGTGGCAAAATTCCAATGCTATATGACACAATGTTTAGCGGTCAGTAAAAGTATGCAACTATATTTGCGTCTGTGGCCGTTTGTTGTCATTGCAAAACTGATAACACTAGGTAGGATTATGGCCCCTGCCAGCCTGGATATCCGTTTTCAGGCAATACTTGTATGAGAGGGCAATGTGCTAAGGAATATTCAAAAAGATTATTTCAGTTGATATGAACCAAGAGTACAGACTTATGTAAGAAAGTTTTGCCTCTGCTAACTTGAAGTAACACCGTGAATGTCTTAGCTGTGATATATACTGGCTTTAAAGTCTTAGGTAGCCATGTGTTTTGTAAATATATGCCACTGAACTTTAATTTAACGATAGATCAGATTAGTAGGGGTACTGGAAACTCTTTAGGAATATAGTTACTCCATATTTTCCACAGCCAGCCTTTAAATAGTGGAAGAGAGCAGTTGGGCCCCCCTCCTCTCTTACCCTTCTTTTCTCAAGACTATATACACCCAGCTTTCCACCCCTTTCTTTGACTATCACGTGCGCTAGACCCCCTAACCATCTTAGTGGCCCTATGCTTCAATATCTCCACTTTATCAGTATTTGTCTTGAACTAGGGAGGTCCAAAATTGGACACAGTACTCCAGATGCAGTTTTTAAGTGCAGGCACTTAAAAGACACTTCCCTCAGTCTGCTCTTCGTAGTACAGCCCATTAGCATTCGTAATTGCCAGAGTTCATTGCTGACTACGTTCAACTTGCTGTTGTCCTTCCATCAGGACCTGAGGTCTTGTTTGGAAAGCTGATACCTAGCCATTTGAATGTTGGCTGGCAGTACTATATGACATTATTCTGTCCCAGGTGTGAAATTTTGTGTTTGACTTTGAGGCTGATGAGGTTTGTCGGACCATTCTTAGAGCTTGTTAAGGTGCCTCTGAATGGCAGTCCTACCCTCCAGCATAGAACCTGCTCCTTTGAACTTGACATTAACTGAAAACTTGCTGAAAACCTGTGTTTTGTCCCATCATCTGGGTCATTAATGAAGATATTAAAAAATACTCATCATGGAGGGATACCACTTAAACTGCACACCAGTTAGAGTTAGACTTTGGATGGTTGGTTGCTATTCTTTGGGCCTGGTGATCCAGCCCGTTTTTCACTTACATTGTAACCCACTCATCTAGACCCCTCATATTTCCCCAATATAGCTTCAAGGATGCTATGGAAGACAACATAAAAAGCTGCGTGGTCAAGGTAGACAACTCCACTGCTCTCCCCTTATCCACAGAGCTGGTCATCTCATCACAAAAAACAATTAAGTTGGTCAGGCACTGTATGTCCCTGCTAAATCTGTGCTGGCTTTTTGCGGTCACCTTCTTGTCCTTCATGCACTTGGAAATTGCTTTCAGGAGGAATTGCTACATAGTTTTCCAAAGGACTGAGGTTAGACTGTGTGACATTTGGTTTTCTCCAGTCACTAGGGAGTTACTCCACTTACCAAGTACCTTCCAAAGATGAGTGATGTTGGTCAGCTCTTGTAAATCTTAGATGTATCTGTTGTTCCGCTTATATTTGCAGTTTGTCTGTAACTTGGTCTTCCTCTGACATTGGCAGTATTTCCTTCCCCTAGAACCTAGCTTCAGGAGTGTGGGAGACCTGAGAGGAGATCTTGCCAGTGAAGACTAAGGCAAAGAAGGCAATGAGTACCTCCTGTTTTTCTGTGCTCTTCGTCACTTCATGCGATGAAGTGTTCATCAGCATTCCTGTTCATCAGCAGTGAGCTCACTCTGTCTTTGGTCTTCCTTTTGTTGATGCTGTACCTATGAAGACCCTGTTGGCTTTCACATTCCTCACCAGTTTCAACTCCATCTGAGCACCGATCTTCCTTCCCTGCATGCTTGGGCTTCCTCGGTGGCTTGTCCCTGCTTCCACCTGCATGTTTTCTTTTTGTGATTGAGTGCAAGAGTATTCTGTAAGATTCAAGTACCTTGGGGTGGGTTAAGATTGAGCTGCAACATGTAACGTCAACTTAAATTGGGCTGGATTATATGGCATAATTGGAACTAGTGGGCTTTAACATGCCAGCTGCAGATGCTATACACAGCGGCAACCTAACTAGATAATTTTCATGTTAATGTCAGAAGCAAGCACATCTATCTTGTTCAAAATTCAGGGACACCACCCTACACTGCATAAAAGCCGAAGGAGAGAGAAGGAAAGTGCTGTGAAAGCTATGGTAATACCTGTTGAGTCATGCATCTGCCAGCTCAACGCTTCATTGCACTTCTACAGGAGGGAGAGAAAACAACTTGTATAACTTAAATGGTTCCTGCAAGTGGCTTCTGTGTTTCCCCCAACTACTCACTGCAACATGAAGTAGATGTGTGTGTGTGTTTTCTTGGTTTGACAAAGCTCAAATATGATTTAGATATGGATATGACAGACATTCTGTAAGTTACAGAATTATACGCTAATTGAGGTTGGAATGGACCTCGGGAGGTCATGTTGTCCAGCCTCTGCTAAAAGCTCATGTTCTGTTAAAGGGTATTCTACAAGATAGAAATAAAAGACATAAGAGGAGATGCGGAAGAGCTGGAAAATAAAGGGTCTATGCTGAGTAATAGTGTTTATTGTGTTACGAGACATTGCTGTCTTGGATTAACATGTACTGAAAAGACTTCTTGATATGAAATCTCTAGGGGCTCTGAGGGGAGGGAGGTGTACATTTCATGTCCTAACAAGATACTATTCTAAGTCAGCATTACTTGTGCAGCTGTCTTTCAAAAACCAAGTTGGCTTTGAGTGATGGTAACAATGTTGTAGTTAAAAAGTAACTAGAACTTAATGAACTGTCAACAGGGGAGAGGCAGCCCATGATTGCTTGATGGGAAAGTGTCAGTCAAGACCTGTTTCTTGGTGGGTGGGCCTTTTGATCCCAACCAGAAGCCATTTTGTGTAAAGCTGTTATGTAAGGTGACTTTAAAGGACCTCCAGAAATTACGCATAGCTGTGTGAAAGTGGCCTTTCTTCTGGGTAGGCTGAGCTTTGAGCACTCCGTTGCAGATACCTTGCTTCCAAAAGCTGGTGGTCACGTGCAATTCATGTTGCAGCTGGGGATACTTCACTAAAGGATGTAACTAATTTGTATTACCATTTGTGTAAAAAGATGAACTCTTAAACTAAGGTCTCCCACTTGGGAGCAAGTGTTTTTCTGGGTTATCATAATTTTTCCCTTAAAAACATCAGTTTGGTAGTGGCCAAAAAGGGAAGTGAAACATTAGGGGGGAATGGAGAACATAATTCTGACAATGTATAAATTGGGACATGTACACAGTGCTGAAGGCATGTGAGTTCTGGTCACCTGCCAGAAAGACAAGGGATGGGTGGACGGTAGAAGTAGTATAGAGAAAGTGTAACAAGAATGTTTGAAGTTTTGTAAAAGCTGTCTGAGGATTGACTAGAGCAATGATTCCTCACCCTAGGGAAGAAGTAAGGAAGCAGACAGAGATGTATGGTCTGAGTGCTTTGGAGGCTGGAAATCAGACTGCACTACTGATTGCTCCAAAACAAGAACAAGGCCTCTGGTTTGATATTTCCTGAAATCAGAAGTTTCTTACATTGTATAAAAGAGCACTTCCTTCTTTATCAGCAGTCACTGTCTCTTCCTCTGCTTTTTTTTCTTCCCCTCCCTGTGTAGCTTTCTTGGCTGAGTTGACCATGTGGTCTTGTTAATCCACGGCAGAAACACTCTGCATCCCAGTAGGCTTCAACTGTGCAGATCTGCTTGAAGGGAGCATGAGGTAGGGGTGTGTCTCTGAGAGGGCAGTTTAAACTACATGGATTTTACTGCTGTCTTTCTGGAAGAAATGGAGGGGAAAATGCACATAAAGAGGTTGGAGGGAGCAATAAATGGAAATACTGATAGCCTTAAACCATACAGATGGGTTTATTATAACCGGTAGCTTAAATACTAGTGACCTTTGAACAGAGGCAACTAGGGATTTAAGTAACCTCCCTACTTTTACATCACTGTAAAGACAAAGTTCAACCTTGCCTGTATATGCAAGAAGTAGTAATTAAAAAAAAAAACAACAAAGCCTTAGGCTCTCTGAAGAAGGTAGCTGGGTAAAGGGGAGCTGTTACACTTGGTTGTGGCTAGGAATCAATTTAGAAACAAAAATAACATATCAAACTAATATAAATAAAGTTAAAAAATCATGTTATATGTAGATAAAAACCCTGAAAGTATTAACATTGAAGATTTTATTTTTGTGAGTCATCTGCTCCAAAATCCCAGGGTTAGAAATTGCTGCTCAAGACATACTTTCTGTGGAAAAGGTCAGTTGTTCTGAAGAGACGGGGTAGAGACGCTCAAGATGAAGGTAGAACTTGGTGACAGCTGACTTTTATTTCAGCAGATGGATATATTAAAAACTGTCAGTTAGACAATAACCTTCTCCTTCTACCTTCTCCAATAACCTAGCTTCTCTAGACTTTGCCTCAGAGCTGCTTGTGTACATGTGTTGTGGTTTGGGTCTAAATCGTACTAGTCCTATCGTGAGGAAGAAACGTGCTTGACCGGTTAACATACAAGCAAAGTGTCAAGGCTGCCAATACACTGTGCTTCTGAATGGCTCAGTGGAAAATTTCAGGATCAAATAATCCTGGTGCATGGTACTCCCAACTGTTGCAATTTATTTGGAGAACTGCATTGTCTGTATTGACTGAACACGCTTATGTAGCACAAGTCAAGCTTTTCACAAGATGAGAAAAGAAAGGCTTCGTAGGAACAGATTAAAAATGGAGATCAAAATGAAAACAAAGCAAGCATTTTATTTCCAGCTCAATGTTATGGCTTCTTCATGTGTTTTTGGTGAAAATGTGGTGTTTAAAAGCACATTACATTTTCCACAGTGGTTATATTAACCATCTTATTAGTTTCCATTCACTTTATGGTTGTTTTTAGAGATCAGCAACTTGAGTGAAAAAGATATCCTTGTTCTGCGTCTTGACTTGACTGATAGAAGCTCTCATGAAGCTGCAACCAACAGCGTTCTCAAGCATTTTGGCAAGGTAAGACGTACTTCAGGGCTTAAACTTTTTTTTTCTTCTCTATCTCCTATGCCTGCATTTGTGTTCCTATTTAATTTCTGTTCTATTCTATGGTAAATTCACCAGTGTCTACATCTTACTCAGTATTAAACATACTAAAAAGTACCTAAATTCTCATCCCTTCTGTTGCTTGCTTCTGGGTTTCAGCAGGCTTTGCAGAGATGCAGCAATGAACAAATAATCACCGGTCATCAGCAAGAGCTAAAAATTCACTTGCTTGATGTTGCTGAATTTCTGGATCAGCTGGAGGAATCCTCAGCTGTATATTTAGGGGTTGAAGCTGTGTGTGAAAGTCAGAACCTTTATTTTGTAGTTCCCATAATGCATGTAATTTGTGTTCAGAGCCAGATGGGACAGAAGTGGACACCAGGCACAATTATTTTTCTTGCTTTGTGCACAGTTTTCTAGATTGCTCATCCAGAGCATGGAGCTAAAACAAGAACATTCAGATCTAACTAACATTCAGTGCAATGTGCAAAGCTTCAAGCTAGACCTTTAGTCTGCATTTGATATTTTGGTTTCAGAGTGAAGTTACTGGTTCTAATTTGCTGCTTCTGTTCTTTGCTCTGGTCGATTTCTGTTCTGGCATAAAAGGTATTTTCAGAGGTCACCTTGCAGGACTTGAGCTTGAAGTGTTATTTGCTACAGTGCAGTAGGGTTAAACGTTGTGTGGAAAACAACTTTCCAGCTACCAGTGTTCCTGGAGTCAGAGTTAACCTTGTTTGGCATCAAACACTGTATTCCTGTTTTGTTGACTCAGCTCAGAATTAGCCAGCCTTCAATTAGAAAGGGAAGTGGTGGAGAGCAACTGCTGAAACTCCTTCAGCAGCTGATACGCCGTACTTGTGTACGGCAGAGACAGCACCAGAGGGAAGAGAATAGTCGCTTAATTGCCTGAGGAAGTACAAATATGAAAGGAAATGTGTTTCATTAATTTATCGTTGTGTCTTTCCTGAGATTGATGTTTTGGTCAACAACGGTGGACGTTCCCAACGCTCTCTGTTTGTGGATACAAACCTGGATGTCTACAGTGCCATAATGGAGCTCAACTACCTGGGTACAATCTCTTTAACAAAATATGTCCTGAATCACATGATTGAAAGGAAGAGGGGAAAGATCATTACTGTGAGCAGTGTGATGGGTCTCATGGGAGCTCCTCTTGCCTCCGGGTACTGTGCCAGCAAGCATGCTCTGCAGGTAAGTTACATTTCTGGGATGAAGTCCTGTTGTGTAACAGGCCAGCATTGGTTAGCGCTGTAGCGGAGGACTTCGTTCCGTGCAGAAAACACAAGTCTCCCCTGAAGCTGCACACAGCATGTCTAACTTTCTCAGGTTTTGAAAGTCCTTTAAAATTACTTTGCTCTGAAATGCGAAATATGTGAGCTCCCAGTGTAGATTTATTGTCCTGACTAAAATGCAAATGCCATCTTACTACCACTACGTAGTGAAGTTCCAGTGTGAAACACAAGACCTTAGCCTCTGGCTTTCAGATGAAGGAGTACCTAAATCAGAGCATTATTCTGTTGTGTATGGAAGCCTTAACGTTCTCATCTTAATTCAGTTAGGGAGGAAAAGTCACTGGTGAGTGTTTTAAGACTACAGGAAATATTTAGGACAATAAAGTGAGAACTGAGTGGTGAAGCAGACTCCTCACAGGCAGAGTTCCTGGTCTAGCTGGGAACATCAGAATGAATCTTCCCAGCAGTTCTGAATCTTGCTGTGCGGTGAAGAACTGGCAGCTTGTAGTGTCTTAGGAAGTTACCTTCTGCCGAACACTGAACTTTCAGTATTGCTTGGAAAGAGTTTTTGAAAGTAGTCTCACTTGAGAAAAACGTGGAAGAAGCGCTCAGAAAAGTATCTGGGGAAGCCTGTATCACTGAGGAATCATTTGTTTAACTAGTAAATTTATTTAGACATATTTGTCTTTCACCACTCTTGGACTTGCTGCTAATGTACACTTTGATCTCAGTGAAATAAACTTTAGCTGTGCTCAGTGATGCTTTAAAAAACTGGCAGCTTCTTACTCCCTGCAGGATTTAGGCACATAAACAGAGTAAATAACGTTGCTGAAGCTATGGGATCAGTATCTTTTTGACGATTTGACTAACAACAACAGAAATGTGGTGAGTGGCTGCCACTGCAAAGCCACTAGACACTTCAAAGAACGAAGATGTAGAAGGCAGTGACAGGCCTCTGCTAATAAAAAGTTCTCCGTTAGTGAAAAGGAAAGGTCTGCTGCTCTTCACTGGGGTGGCAGTGATGAAATTCGCCATTAGAGGCCAGCTTTTGGTTTACGTCTAGCAGATTGAAATTAGAAGAATGCAATGAGCAGAAGCATGAATTCCCTTTATGCTCCTTTATTTAGTAAGTGTTCTTTCAGTTGGATTGTCTTTTGGGTGTGGTGTAGTTGGTCTAAGCGTGGCTAATTAGTTGCAGAGCACAAGGAATTCACATGTTGCTTTGAAAATTCTCAGAACTCTGACCTTCATGTTAAGACCAAGAATGAGGAAGAAACTTTAAAGAGATAGTTTACTAAAATTTTTGGATTAATTAAAAATAAGTGAACTGAACTGTTTATATCTTTGTTAGCTTCTACCTCCACTCAATAACCAGGCCAGACTCCAAACCTTTCTTGTTTCTTTCACAGTAATTCTGCAAATACTAATTGCAGGTGTTAAAACATGTGATTAGCAATATAGATTGTGAAAAGACTCCATCTGAGAGTCTCTGGTCAGTCTGGAGTTAGGGCTAGATGTGGGCATGAAACCCCAAAAAACTAGAAAAGCTTTTTTTTAAATGTCAGACTTCACCAGCACAGTTCAGGTGCAGGCAGTCTATAGGAATGGCAGTGCTCTGCGGGTAGCCCAGCAGCCCGTCTCTGATGGCGACCGAGAAGAAATGGCTAGAGAGAGGGTAGGGGGAAAATAAGGTAAACCAGAAAGTGATGCTCCTCCTGTTGTGTTGTCCCAGCACGTATCAACATTTATTCTAAGGTCTTGAAAGGAAGATCGCGATTTGGCCACCCGTTACTAAATGTGTGCTAATCTGACGTGAATTCAGGTGTTATGGTTTTTCAGGGTTTTTTTAAGAGTCTACCACAGCTGACACAGTTAACGCTGCAATCTTCATTATGCCTTTTACAAAAAAGTCCCTCCTTTTGTTCTGTTGGTTTGATTTTTGTTGCTTTCTGTTTTTAATTTGTTTTAAATGGCAGTTGAAGGAGGAAGGAGGGAATTCTTGAAACAATCATGCTTTGATTCATGCCCATTGGAATTCTTCATAACAACATTCTACTGATGAAATTACCCTTTATTTCAGTGCTGGGAGTGCTGTAAGGGTGCAAGTCAAGTCCACGGGAGTCTGTGTCTGACTGATGCAGTATCTCTCCTAGTGTGGCAATGCTCATGGAGATCATCTACCCTTCATCTCACTGTAATTCATATAATTGGTGGCATGTGATTTGGAAATGGTGGCCTTCAGAATGTTGCTTAATCAGGAACTTGTCTAATAAGCACATGGACTGCACTGAGAAGCAACGGCTCTCTCTTTGTTCAGTCTCTGGTCACTGGGGGAATTTTAAATGTTTCTGTCACAGGAGAGGTCAGTTCAGCCTTGCCTTCTGCAGCATCTTCTAGGATTTGGTCACTAAGCTGGAAAGGCCCAGAGATGGCTTCAAGCAGTTCCTGTTCCACAGACCTCGGTGTCTGCCTGTCAGAGCTGGCTTCAGGCTGGGCTTGGTGGAAACGCTCAGATTCTTCCCCTGGCACTTGAGCTCCTTTACTGCTCCAAAATCTGGATCTGCCCTGCCTCAATTTAAAGAACAGAGCACTTTTTCTAACTTAGGACTTTTAAGCTTCTCTTCTGGGAGGAAGAGGAGAAATTTCATACCACTAACCTTTGGATATTTAAGATAAGTGCTGGAATTAGAGAACTTGTATGTACTGTAGATGGTACCTCCAGAGGGGACTGAGAGTATGTGAGATTTTGGTCCTCAGGAGGCTCTTAGTGTGTATCGGCCAGGCTTTCAGCTGAGCAAGTGTCCTGGCCATCCTGTGTTCCCAGTGAAGACTGCACCTCTTCCATGGTGCAGAAACTTGGAACTGCCTTGAAACTTGGAAGGAGGGGTCACACAAACCGCTTGAAATGGAGGGGGATAGTAGAATGTCCACAGAGCAGAAACAGGAGCTGGCTGTGGTCTCTGGCTGCGTGCATTTCATGGTTACAGCCTGTGCAACCCCTTAATGAAGCAGCACTGACTGACAGTGCTACTCAAACAGCACTCTGGAAAAAAAGCCTCAGCAGCCCTGTGCTGGGCTACTGTGTAGGCAGGATCTCCGAAGAGAACATGAACTCGCTGGACCAATGCTCACCTTTTGGGCATCTTCCAACTTGCTCAGGTCAGCAAGGCTCCCTTTGTGATACTTGAAGAGAAGCCGCAGTCCGAGAGGAGTGTGCTGGAGCCAGTGCCCTCTGCGGGGAGGTGTCTGAGGTTGCCGACGGAGCTGGCTGCTGCCACGTGCCTTGCTGTGGCCACTCAGGGCTGCGGGCAGGTGCCCATTGCAGGTAGAACTTGGATCCCAGAAGCCTCCCAGCGTGTGAGCAGTTGTAGGCGCTTTGTCACGAGTGACCGAACGATGTCTCTGGCTTCCTTTCTGTGGCAGCATTCCCAGACACACACCCTGCCACCTCCTCGACTCCTGGAAGTACATCCTGAGATTGTCTCCTTCAGGCAAAATGGGAGTCAGTTCAGTTGCTCACCGGGGAGCGATGAGGGAGTGTGGGCTGGGAGAGCTCTCGTCCAGTCCTGCTCATGCAGCTCAGTGGTGAGGGAGTAACTCCCGACTGCCCACGGGAGGGGAGATAGCTGCCGCTGGGGCTGCGTTCCTGGGAGAGCCTGGCTGCGGTGAACAGGGTGCAAAGCACTCATGAGCAGAGAGTGGGACACATCTTACCCTCACCTGAGTGGCCACGCTGGTGATGCACACTGCCACCTTCTCCTGTTTGGGGTCTGGTCTCTTTTCACTTGTTACTTCTTCCTCAGCTGGACCGACGGCAAAACTTTTGTGACAGGACTGTGCAAATCGGGGGTTAAGGGGCCTTTCTGAGATAAG